CGGTGGCAGCCTTCCCATGGAGGGCTTGCTGAGCACTTCCTTCTCCTCTCATGTTCGTTCATCCATCTCTCTTTTCTTTGTAGGCTGCGGCGGCTATTGTTGCAGTCTAAAAGCTTCAAACCTCTTATTCTCCTGATGCATGTGATGTTCTTCTTGAACGATCCATGTTCCCTTCCATATCCCTGCAAAACGAAAGAAAGAAAAGCAAATTAACAGCCCTAAATTGCTCACCTTCCGTGAGAGGGTTCGTAGCGGTTTCCGGCAGCGTGTTTCTGCAGCGATGACGATGGTGATACCCTCCGTTAGTACTTCGAACTCCTCTTCTTCTTTCAATCTAGGGTGATGATGAAGACTTCCATGAAGTTCTCTGAACCCTTGTCTCTTGCGACCGTCGTTTGTTTTCTTGATGGAACTTGATGACGAAACTCAATCGAGGGTGAGGCTGTTTGGTGAGCTTTCCTTTAAAGCTCCTTCTTTATGGGATGATGAAGAAGAATCAGTTGAGATTCTCTGAATCCCAATTTCTCAATCGCGCAAGCCGCCGCTGTGTGGTTTCGTTAGGGCTTCAGTCTCTGGTGAGTGTGTTCTGTTTTGTCATTAGCCTCCCTTTAATCCCTTCTTATTTCTCGTTTTATATTATCTCTTGATGGGCTTTGGACTTACGTTTTGACAGAAAATCACAGTTTTGATTTTTTTGATCTGATTTATTATGATTCCCAGATTTGATTTGATCTTCTTCGGATCATTGATGGTGATTTGCTTTTGATTTTTTTTCCAGATGGATTCACTTTCTTATATGGTTTGGGTTAGATACCATCTGAATTTGATTGGTTTTTCGGTTTCACACATAATCCAGATTTGATTTGCTTGACATCCATGGATTTACCGGATGGAACTGGATACAGATTTATGACTTGGATTAATATTATTTACTTGATAGAGTTGTCTCTGGAATTGATTCTCTAGATTGGATTCGGATTCCCTATTATTTACTTGACGAATTGGATCATGAATCTGAAATTTGGGTTTCATGTGATCTGTTTGGCTCAATTTCTTTTCGACATAAAAATGCTTCTTTTCCTCTTCCTCTTGGCTGGCCTGAAAAAATAGAACAGATAGTGCCGGTTTGTGCCGAGGTCGGGAATCGATTTGGGAGCTGGCTTCGACATTTGTCGTCACCCTCCCGATACCTGATGATGAAATTACTCTGAGGGTGTCGAACAAAAAATAATTTCTAACATTAACATCTTTTTTTGCTCTGTTTTTGGTTTGTCTGTGTGTAGGTACGGAGAAAAAAGTCGAGCCGGACACGAAGAATTAGTCGTGAAGTCGAGCATGAAGATCAGAAAGTAGGAATTTAGGAAAATGTATTTTTTATTTCTTTTTGTAATTTGTAATAAAAAAATATTATGAATAAAAAATCAATATATTTTCTATCTAAAATCATTTCCGATTCCTTTTTCCGTAGTTTAAATTTGTCGCAACCGAATAAACAACACAAAAAATATCTGATTAAACCCAACTTGATCAAGTACCTCCTTGTCATTCTAACACGTGTTGTTCCACATAACTGATATAACCTTCAATTTTAATCCAATACTTTCCCAAATTAAATTGTGCCTAGTGATAGAATCAGTAATGGCCTTGAACGGAGTAAAACGGAAAAGAAAAAAATCCAATTAACGGCAAAGACAGAAATATACTCCTCTGATAACTAAATCCAATATCCTGCACTTATTCGGCCCAAAGATCACAATTAAACAGAAATCATAAACCCGAACATGAATCGAAATTTCTACTGCTTTGACTTTAAAATTGACTGGCAGATAGCAGAAGGACAGCAAATAAACGCCTGTTAAAACAAAACTCCGCAGAATGATATTTTGCACTGATTTGAGCCGAACCAAATTGATATCTCAATATAATCAAACTTATATGATAAAATAAATGTCTCGGAAATCCACTGACGACAGAGTCTCGGCCCGTTGAATTAATGACCGTATCTCAAAAACCCCGATGCCAAAACTACCGTGAATTTTTGTTCATCTTCAAAGAAAATAAAGAACTCTTAAATGGAGGCTCTAGTTGCTCAATGGATTCATGGCGATGATTCAGCTTCATGAACTGTCAGCGAACGGTGAATAAATGATTGTTTCGCCCCTCAACAGTTAAAGTGCGCCTGAAGTGATTCTCCTGCAAAAACAACAGACTATGCAACCCGTTAGTGGTTAGTTAATATGTAATGCAAAAAATGAAATGTAATGCGACATGAATCGACTAATCTAAGGGTAAAATTTGGGGTATTACAAGGATAAAGAAGAGTGTTTGAGTCAGTAAATATAGCACCTTGGATAAGAGCACAAAATAATCTTGAAGGTGTGTTGGAGGTTTGATAATTCTACTTGATTTTATAAAAATTATAGGATTTGTTGGTTGATGATGAAGAATTTGGTGGGTATTATTGGGCTATGATCATTAGTGTTGGAGTTATGAGGAGAAGTTTCATGTATTGTAGATGTTATGAGGGATTAGGATGAATGTGTGGAGTAGGGTTGTAATCTGATGAGAAGTAATTTGCAGGGTGATAAATGGGTAAAAGGTATGGTTTTGGGTGCATGTTGGTTATGAAGAAAAGGAAAAACCTTTAAAAAATAGTATCTCTAAAAGATTACAAAGTTTCTACTATGAATATCATATAAAATATGGAATTTGACACCATTCGTGATTCTTAGGTAATTGTATTTAAGAGACCTAAGACGAAGTTTGTTTATATTACATTTGGAACTACAAGCGAATGCTAGATAACTAAATAGTTGTATGCTAGAGTAGTCAGGGTTATTGTGGTAAAGCAAATTAAAAGGACATTTAAAATTCAATAGTCTGATAGGGAAATGATTAATAAGAAAAACAACATTAGATAATGTACCAATTTTTTTGGGAGTTTAGATTGAAATAAGAGAGTATAGGTTAATCCTAAGAGATGTTGGTGCTTCATTTCAACCAAACTATTTTATTGAGGGGTATTAATGCTTAAGGCCTGATGATAGATTCCTTAAGTTATATAAAATTCATTAAGAGTGTACTCAATACCATTATCACACCTATTGGTTTTAATAGTTGTTTGAATTGAGTTTGAACAAAAGAAACAAAAGACTTTACTATTTTGAAAGTCTCAGATTTAAGCTTCATTTAAAAATCCAACAATAATGATAATGGTAATCTATAATAGTAAGGAAGTATTTTTGACCTAACATGGATGAGATGAAAAATGAGCCTCAAATATCCACGTGTATGAGGTCAAAAGAGTTCAGAGAAATAATTTTGCTGTCTTGAAAAGGTAGTATATTTTTGTTTGGCTTAAAAACAAGTATCACAAAGATTATAGATTTTAGAAAAATTGTAGAAAGAAATTTGTTTATTAATTTGAATTATAGCCTCATGAGAGGGGTGACCTAATCTATTGTGCCAAATGATACAATTAATAGTTAAAGATTTGGTATTGAGTAAATTAAACTTTGATGAAGAAGAGTTAGTTGCTCTTTTTTATGGTCCAGGGTGAATTCAGTTGTGTCATGATGATTACCATCATCTTCAAGTTATTTAGGAACATAAGTGTCTTGAGATGTGTCTTCAATGGATAATTGAGCTATGGTGGATTTCTTCAAGTATAAAGGAAGACACTACTACAAAATATACATTTCACAACAGTTGGAATAGATATTTAACCACGGTTGATGGCCTGTAGTAACATAAGGTTCCCAGTCTTAAAGAAAGAAAAGAACACCCTCACAGTAAGGAACACACCCAATGTTTAGAAGTGTTTTTCAATTTCCTTAAGTATTTCTAATGGTTTCCCAAATTCAAAGAACACGCTCTAAGAAATTTGTATTACCTCTCTAAAATTATCACTAGGATTCTCAAACCCTTATCTTTGTCTACAACTCTAAAACTCTTAAGGTTGTCAAGACAAGAATGATAGAGATACATATTTATAACGGCTAAAACTTAACAAATTTATATTGAACTCAAAATACCCATTAACAAACATATTCACAAACAAAAATAACAAAGTTCAATACAAATGAATAAAAAAAATCAAACTCAACTCTGACTGACAAAAAAAATCCGCCAAAGTCCAACCCTGCCGTCGCTATTGGCTCCGCCTCCTGACTAATTTTTTTTTTCTATACAATCTCAAAACATTTTTTTATGACTAATTTTTTTGTCTATGCAATCTCAAAACATTTTTTTATCACTTAAAATTTTAAAGGATATTTCATATTAACATTATGCATAAACCTTTATTCAACACTTTTATTCCATTAAAAAAACACACTCTTATGCCATGTGATGTGATACCTCTCTAACTTCAATTATGGATTGGTACCTAACGAATAAAATAAAAAAAAAATCATAGATTTATTTAAGTTGAGTATTTTCAAACTTTGTATCTTGATTATAAGTTAAGAAAACACATGAAAAATGTACTAATAGGAAGTGAGGTTGATTAAAAATTTCATCATACTTAAAATAGGTTATTAACTAGAAAGAACACCCTTGAATTAAATGCTAGAGGGTGATAAATAAACAAAACATACCCGGTAGGAGTAACACCTCTGTCTCAATAATAAATGTCTCTATCTACCAACTGCTACATGAGTTAGCGCCAACAACACAACATAAACACTAAACACAAACACAACACATCATGTCTCTTTTCACTTGTCTCTCACACGCTTGCCTCGTGCGAGATAACTAGTTGTGTCAAAAGTGTGTAAATGCGGTAGTTATGGTAAGCTCAGATCATTGTTAATGGTGGGGTCTACTCTCTTTCTTTCTCTCTCTACAGCTATTATCAATGAGAGAGAGTGAGAGAGAGAAACCTTGCTGCAATAGTCCCCACTTACTTTTGAATCTTGATTCACTCTTCCTTTTTGATCTCAAATTATGCTCATTTTTCATCTTCAATTGCATACACTCACCTTTTAACTCTTGTGGATATGAAGAACTTTAATATGTTGCTTTTGTTCATTCTTCTTCTTTGTAAGTCCTTCTTGTTACTTGATTCATGCTATAAATGGCTGTTTTGTTATTGATCTGTTTGTGTGTTGCTTCGTTTGGTTCTTGGTTTCATCAACACTACTACTTGCATTATTCTATGTTTGTGTTTCTCCTGCTGTTAATTTATGATGTTTGTTATTGTGAGGTGGGATGGCAATAGTTAGGGTTTTGGAATTATTTTAGGGTTTGTTTAGATTGACTTATTTGAGTTTATCTGCGAGACTGTTTGGACGAACTTATGAAAACAACTTATGACATTGTTTATAAGCTGGTTCAGCTTCTTTCCATAAGTTTCTCAGGGTAGCCGATGAAAATAGCTTATAGAAGTGCTTATCATGATAAGTTGCATATCTAAACAGGCCTTAGTGTAGTTATTATTGATGTTTGATCATATTGACAAAGGAGCTTCTATGATCTAGGCCTTATTGCGGCAACATTTAAGAGGTTATCATGATGTATATTGAAGTTTAGTTTAGTCATTCATGAAATTTATTTTCTGTTATTTGTGTTTCGGCACAGGTTCGCGTGATTCCCATGGTAGTAGAGTTGATCATGCTCAAGGTCACATTCAATTGGATAACCGTGTGGGTTCCATGTTCCCCCAAATCGCGCCAGTTGGTGCTCCACAAGGACTGCAACCCTTTCTTCCGCTTATTGCGCCTTCACCGTTGACTCCATTCACCAATATTACCACCCCAAAGTTATCAGGTCATTTTCTAAATAATTTCTGTCGTCGTTTTGGATTTTCAACGATCTCTTTTTCTCACTGTCTTTATTGATGTATCTTTCAGGACTCTGCATGTTGAACTTCACCGCTGCCAAAAGTTTGCTAAGTGTGACGGCAATTGACTGCTGGGGATCTTTTGCGCCTGTTCTGGCTAACGTAATATGCTGTCCACAATTGGAAGCCACTCTCACTGTTCTCATAGGTCAATCCAGTAAACATACCGACATACTTGCCTTAAACGGAACCGCTGCTAAACATTGCCTTTCGGACGTCGAGCAAATTTTAATGGGGCAGGGTGCAAATGGTGATCTGAAGCAAATATGTTCGGTTAATTCTTTGAATCTCACGGAGGCATCTTGCCCGGTAAAACATGTGAATGATTTTTACGACATGGTGAATACTTCTAAGCTGCTTAAAGCGTGTGAGAACATTGATCCTGTGAAAGAATGTTGCTACCAATATTGTCACAGTGCTATATTAGAAGCAGCTACAAAAATTGCATCAAAAGGTTCTAATGTTTTAGACTCAGACGCATCGCGTATTCTACCCGAACATTCAATTCGGGTCAATGATTGTAGAAATATAGTACTCCGGTGGATATCTAGTAAGCTTGATCCGTCTCACGGAAAGAAAGTTCTCAGAGGATTGTCTAATTGCAATATCAACAAAGGTAATTCGTTTGATGAAAATGTTATATTTTTCCTAGTGATGCTAATTCTTCTATCTCTTCGATGCATAATTTTTGCTTAAATCTCTTATGTTTTCGGCTGCAGTTTGTCCACTCGTTTTGCCTGACGCAAAGCATGTTGCCAAGGGGTGCGGCAACGGGATAAGTAACAAAACAGCCTGCTGTGATGCCATGTTAAGCTACGTGTCTCACTTGCAGAAGCAGAGTTTCATCACTAACTTGCAAGCTTTGGGTTGTGCAGAAACTTTGGCAATGAAATTAAAAAAGTCAAAAATTGTCGATGATGTTTATAGTCTTTGTCACATAAGCCTTAAGGATTTTTCACTCCAAGGTTTGTTTTTCTTCTCTCTTCACATCACTATGCGCCACAATAACACTTAATGCCTATAATATTTCAAGACTCATGTTAATGTTTCATTTTTTCACCCTGCTTGTTCAACTTGGTGTGAAAATCAACAATGTGGATGCTTCAGTTGCAAATCAAGGTAACTACATAATGCTGTCTATTATTGTGTCAATATATACTATTTGCAAGTATCACTTTAAATGTGTATGTTTAATCCTTCTATCAAGAAGGTTCTGTGGCATTTAATTGATCTGCGCGTACATTGACAATGCGTTTAGTAAAACAAAAGGCATTTCTTTATCGTAAAACAAAATTGTTACCATTAATGATAGAATGTTGCGCGGTTAAGAATCAACAAGAGAATGAAGTAAGTGTAGCAGTGATGAGGATGTTGCGTTGAATGTGTGGTACTGTGGTACGACTAGACAAGTTATAATTAGAAATGAAAATATTAGTGTTAGAGTAACATCTATAGTAGAGAAGATGGTGGAAAATAGACTTATGTAGAGAGAAGATCTGTAGATTCTGGGTAAAGAGAGTAGATCAGATAAAGAGAAGTCAAACAACCAGAGAAAGAGGAAGACCTGGAAAGATGATAAGAGAAATTATTAAAAAAGATATCGAGATTAACGATTTGGATGGAAGCATAGTCCGGGATAGAACATTATGGCAAAGATTAACGATTCGTTTACTCTTTATTGTACACTTTCATTTAATGTAATGCTGTGAATTGACTTGTTGCATTATCTTCCCTAAACAGAATACGGTTGTCTATTACCTAGCTTGCCTTCAGATGCCGTCTTTGACCAAACTTCTGGAGTTAGCTTCCTTTGTGATCTAAACGACAATATCCCAGCTCCCTGGCCTTCTACATCTCAAGGATCATCTTCATCGGCGTGCAATAAATGTACGTATATACCCTCTTCGAGTAGAAAACTACTTTTTATCAATGAAGTTCTTTTGTTCACAACTCTACCTTATTGTAACTGCAGCTATCATCAACATACCTGCCCTTCCTGCTGCTGCTGCATCTGGTCAAAGTTGTAAGAGAACCTTTTCAATTTATTCTGTTTATTCCAGTAATCTACGGCATTCTTAAACAATGTTTGACGAACCTTATTGATATTAACGATTTTATTTTTCATGTTATGCAGGTCTCTACAGTCACGACGTGCTGATATTCCTTCTTGTCAATTTATTCTTTCTCGTGATGGCACTCGTGTAACTTGCGAGAGCTTTCTTGTTAGTTAGACGCAGATTTACTAGTCCTTCAACGATAAGGGCTTTCGGATGGATATATGTTAATGTCAAAGGCTAATTGTCATTCAAATGTAGCTGGTTTTATGACGGAGAGATTCGAGTCGGAGGTGAAGCCTGATGTGTTTCTGATCTTATTGATTAATGATTATTATGTGCTTGTGCAATAATTTTTTTGTATATATGAAATTTAGAAAGCATAGGTTATACAATAACCTACATGTCAGAGATTGAAATGTATACCTGAATTAATGTTGAAGGTGGTTTTGTAATTAGTACTTAGTGTTGTTCTGTAATGTTTAATGAATTTTCTTTAACCAGTAAACTATATTGTTTTGCTTAGACAAATGTTGAGAGGCCAGAACATGTTGAAGTTCCACAAACAATGTCTAGAAAACAAGATATATATGATAGAATACTCTGTCTCTCGTCCGCGGTTTCTGTAAGTGCCCCAACGAGGATTAAGTAAGGACTGTGTTCTAGACGGGCCAAAGACTCGATACGACCGACCCAATCCATAGGTCCAATCTAACACCAAGCACCCACAAAATTGACGAACATGTAGGCATTCACATAAAGGCACAACACAAGAGCAACTCTTCATCTCAATTTAAATAGTTTGAACTCATCCAACGGCTCCTTGCTCTTCACGTCAGGACTACCAATGACCGTTATAACTGTCACATATGTGTGACTCTAAATCAAGCCCAAGTATGATGCACTGTTACATAGGTATAGAGCCGTCTTTGAAGGTGTGTAAGACAACTTACAACACAAAGTCTCACAAATTGTCAAGATTATGCTATGACAAAAAGGGTCTCCATACATATATTTCATGATTAATTTACGATTAAAATGGCTCATTATGAAAATTTCACAAATTTACTTTAGCTTCTTACACAGGAATAAATATTTTGTATTAATTTCATTATTGTTGATTATGATGTTTTTTTCATTTTTTATAAGTAAACGGTGTCATATTTCAATTTTGTGCTATCTTTCATTTGCTTTTTGTTTATTGCATTGTATAGTGCTAGTTATTTTCATTTGCATTCACATGTGCATTCATAACAAAGCCATTTGGGCTTTGATCATGGTCATTCATGTCTAAACCTTGTGTTTGGCTCTGTTTAATAAGTCCTCATTGTTCTTGCAGTTGGTCATATTTTAAACTTAGTTGAGATTCTCGTTTGAATTACCATGTTACTTCCATTTACAGCAACATTTTACATGTTTTAAAGTTTCCTTATACTCCTAAGATTTTGGCCGAATAATTTTTATTATTGGTTTGATTCTAAAGGTGCAAGTAATGTTTTCTTAGCATAAAAGAATTGGCTTTAAGGTCCGTTTGTTTTGTTTTTAAAAAAATAAGTTTTATAGTGCAATATATTTTTGTGTAAAACAATTTTATAAAAAAATTTTTTATAAAAAAGTTTCAAATGAAAATTTGGTTTAAATAGTTATTTTTAAAATGTTATTTGAAGTATTTTATCATTTTATAAAAAAAAAATTGGATATCAAAATTTTAAAAAATCATTTAATTTTGAAGTTATTTCAAATAGTTTTTCATAAAAATCATTTTTGAGATACAACTATTTGAAAAAATTGTGATTTTGACTATGTTTTGATCTTCAATAATGTATGTTTATGTTATAGTATGTCAAAATTAATCTTTTAATTTATAAAAAACAAAAAAATTATAATATTTTAAAAACTGTTTTTGTAGAATTAATTTTCAAAAATACAAAAAAAAAACCATTTTTTTAAAGGTAAAATAACCTGGTCCTTAGTGATGCTTTGTATATGTTGGATTTTTTGAGAAATTTTTGTTGAAGTCTTTTAGTTCATTTTAAGTAAGATTTTTCACATTTTGCATTATTTTTGGTGTTAGAGTAAAATAAAAAAGCAATTGACAAAAGAGTTTTTATTATTTATTTTTATTAGTCACTTAATTTCATTTGTCATTTAGTATTAATGCAAAAAGAAATATAAAAAAGAAAAAATTCATTACATTTTGTTTTAAAATAAAATTAAAAAAAGGCAAAAAAAAGTTTTACACATTTTTATAATAAAAAAAAATGGGTAATGCTAACTTGTGTCCCAAGGGCACAAGTTAAGAGATAAATATAGTAAAAATTTATTGGAAATTGTGTATTAACATTAATAAAAGATTACAATTAATGAGTTTATTGTTTTTCTCGATACAAATTTTCTATTTATATATTTTTTTAATATGTGCCATTGGAGCACAAGTTAACATTACCCCAAAAAAATTAAAAAGATAAAAAGGAGTTTTCCAAAATTGTGGGAGGCCAACACGCCCCTTCCTCATCATGTGGTCATCATTATCATGGCTTTGCTTCCATCTCATGCCTTTTTACCTTTGCTTCACGTTAAAATCTAAGTTTCAATGTGTTTGAAGGGATGGTCGGCCCAATGAGGAGAGAGAACACGGTGAGAATCTAATGGTATGTGAGAGAAAAGAAGATTTTTTTTTACACTCTATGGACTTTTTCCACATCATGTGATTTTTCACATATGCCTCTTGATTTTGGAGATATATTTCTTGAAGTACCAAAATTCAATTGAACGTTAAAATATTCTGGAGATATATCTTCAGATGCTCCAAAACTGAAATGAACGTTGAAATATTCTGGAGATATATCTCTGGGATATTTTGGAGGTTATTATCGTGCCAGACTCTTTTTCTCCCACACTTTTCACTTTCATTCACAAAACTCTTTCACTCTCTCATTCTCAAATTTCTCCAACTTCAACAAATTAGATTTCATTCGTCAGAGGCTCAAGTAATCATCAAGCATCATCCATATCATCATTCAACATCTTCCAAATCATAAATTTTGGGTAAATTTTTCGAGTTTTTAGTAAATATTCGAGTTTTGTTGTAAACGCTTTAGAATCCATTGTTAGGTGTATAAATGTTTAGAAATCAGATGAAACATAGTTTAGAGTAAGTGTATGTATTGTTTCTTGGCTCAAATGGATGGTCAAGACTTTATTTTTCACATTCTGAGTAGCATTGGACGTCATTGTCACGACCTTTGAGTTTCAGAAAATTTCGGAGATACATCTCCGAAAAAATTCAATGTTTCATGTACTTTGGGAAATTCCGGATATACATCTCCAGAAATTTTCTGTAGATATATCTCAGGAATTTTCTCAGTCTGTTTTTTGTGTGTATAATTTTCTTGTTTGTGTTGTTCTTTTGCATAAACTAATTATATAACTAATTTAACCTTACAGACATAATGGCTGATAAAGCCAGCCGATTGAGACTTGGACGGGTTTCCCAGCACGCACCCATTCGGCGGGAGTGGAGCCAGCCAGTTCCGAAGGCAGCAGGTACCTCTGGTTAGGGAGAGGCGTCGACTACTGGGGCACAGTCTACTCCTGAGGCTCAGTCCACTCCTGGAGCTCGGCCTTCACCTCAGGTCACTCAATCTACATCTCAGGCCACTCCACTTTCTTCTTCTTCTTTCTTTAGGAGACGGGATGCACCCGTTGACGCGTCACTTCCCTCATCCTCTCACAGGCGTCGGGATGCACCTGTGCCACCTCCTATTGATCAAGTGCCACCTCTCACTGATAAATCTAATGCACCGGTGTCACCTATGGAGGGTGAGGTTTTAGATGATCCTGATGCACCGGTGCCACCTCCGGAGGGTGAGGTTGTTGATGTCAAGCCAGAGACTTTCAAATGGGATCCATCTGATATGTCCCTACTTCCTATGTATCGAGACCACACTGCCAGACTTATTTGGGACAGAGAGGTAATTAGTTTATTTTTTATTTATTTTTTACGTTAATTTAAATTGCTGACATTGATTATTTATATTATTGCTTATTACTCACATTGATTATTTCAGGAAAATCGCAGGTGCGTGATCCCCAGAAGTTTTAGAACTATGGGAGGAAGATTTTAGCATTGGCTCAGCCGGATGAGAAATGGTTTCAGTCGGTTCTAACCTCTTCTAGGTTGAGTGACCTATGCATGATTGGTTACAGTCTGGTCAACCATGGGATGCTTAATGCATTCTTGAAGAGATGGAATTCTGAGACGTCTTCTTTTCACCTCAGCATGGTGAGATGTCGATTACACTGGACGGCGTCTCATATTTATTGCATCTTCCGACCAGGGGGAGATTCCTCCATCATGGTAGGATGACCAAAAACGAGGCGGTCGATATGATGGTGGAGCATTTGGGGGCTGATCCAGGGAAGGCGCTTCAGGAGGTGGATAGGACCAGGGGTCCTCATGTTAGGTTTACGTTCCTGAAGAAGTTATTTAATGATGAGATCATTGCTGCATAGCAGGCTGATGGTGATGCCAAGTAGGTGGCCTTACTTAGGACTCATGCTTTGAGGGCATATTTTCTATTTTTAGTTGGCACTTGCCTTTTTATGGACACGAGTGTCACCTATATTGACTTTGCATACCTCTGGTACTTCTTGGATCTCACACGAATCCATGAGTACAATTGAGGGACGACTTTCCTGGCCTATCTGTATTCAAAGTTAAGAGATGGATGTCAGTGGAGGACGAAGCAGGTCACAAGCAGCACGACATTACTGGTGGTAATAGTTTTTTATCCTTGAATTTTTTTTTTATATTTTTCATTTCATATTTGCGATAATTATTGATCCCTGATGCTTTTTATTTTCATTTCAGGCTTGGATCCTCCAACACTTCCCGCGCATCGCTAGCTGGGCGAGTTGGGATGAGTACACTGAGGAGATGCCTTGTTCTCGTGCTTTTATCCCGCTGAGAGGGAACCAGGAAGTCGAGCCATTCAAAGTCTATCTTAATTGCTTGGTTTCTGAGGATATCCACTTCAAATTCTACATAGATCATCGTCAGACGCGGCCATTTGATGACATATCGCTATACTCCGGATGGTTGGCCTACGGATTGCGTATTACTGCTCCTCATCTGCCTGAGCGCGTCAT